TAATAATAATAATAATAATAATAATAATAATAATAATAATAATAATAATAATAATAATAGTAATGATAAACTGTTAACTAATAAACTGACAGCTAATAAATCGTTTATAATAACATATCGTTCGCGAAATGCGCTGCCTCGTTAGAAGAGAAATTATTCGATAACAGATGAAGTGTGATTTAAAAGATCATGGGTTTCGGAACGGTGGACAAAAGGGAAATGCTTGAAATATGTCCAAATATTTTTATCTACAAAGAAACTTTGAACAAAAATCATTGAAAAATGTTTTGCCCTTTCTTGTTTTTTTTTTTTCTACCCCCCGCTTTTTTTCTCTTGTTTCCACACGCTCTTTGCTCCGTTTAAAAGTTTCTCGTGTCTATTTTTTCCAATTATAATTACGTTTCATACTTCTATCCTCAATTATGATTTCCCTTCTCGATTAATTATCGCCCGCACTTTCGCGTTTACGATAATATAGAGTACGCGCGCGATTCTAGGAACTCTTTTACGTTATTTTTTTTTTTTTTTTAATCCCACTACAACGTATTTTCCTGTTTCTTTTTTTTTTCTTTTTCTTTTCGTTTTGTTCGTATATTTTTACTAAAACTTGGTCCACGATTCTGAGAGATGTGAAAATTCCAAATAAAATTCGAATAAAATGTATAATCTGTAGTTTTGAATGACGATTATGTCTTTATAGATAGATATAAAGATATAATAAAGATGTACGCGTGTATATATTTTACATCTTGTTTACGTAGATCTTGTTTATTTGCACGCGAATACCTGTTCAACTTTATACGCCTTTTTATACGAAAAAAATTTGACAATGTTTCGCTCGACATAAGATATAAGTATTAGCGGCAGTGATCGTGACCACGGTGCTACACTCATGATAGTATTAATTAAATTAAAAAATAATTATAATAGTAATCATAATAAGAGACAGAGAAATAATAATAATAATAATAATAATAATAATAATATATAATAATAATAATCATAATAATAAAAACACTGTTACAATTAATGATCCACCTCACTTTTCAACCGTGTGTCGGATCTTTATAGTAATTCTATTATATATACAATATTTTTATTTTTACATACATATGTAAGTATATAGCATGCATGGATGCATGCATACATGCATACATACATACGTCGGTATTTATATCACCGTAACGATGTAGTTATTATGTATAAGTTTGCTTTAATTAGAGATGTGCTAGAACCGAAAAATATCGAATTAATCGGGACAGAATTATTCAGGTTGAGTCTGATGATCAGGCTTTTGAAAATATACATTTATCAAAAATCAGACACAATTTCGGGATTCTCTAATCGAGGATGGAATTGTTTTGGTTGACTCATGATTTTTGAAATGTTGTTTTCTGTTTTATTAAATACGGCCGAAAATTTGTAAGTTTTACCCAAATACTCTATCTAATTTCTGAAATATTTTAAATAATAGGAAATTTCGAGCTAATCGATAAAATTATCGATCCGATTCGAGTATTTGGTTCCCCAAAATTTTCGGGATCTTACATTTTTGAGTTTCGCACATTTTTACGTCCGAGAACATGATTGGATTCGACTCGACCCGAATAATTCCAACCAGACTCGAATATTGTGTAGGAATATTGGGTTCACGCACACTTCTAGCATTAGTCAACACGTTTCTCTTACAATGTTCGTACACGCACATTGTTCTTAAAATGAATAATTATCGATACTGTTTCCACTTGTTTTTTTTTATCAATCGTTTCACAGCAAATTTTGATAGTTCAATATTAGTTTTTATTTTTCGTCTCACATTGGGATCATTCATTCTAATAGAATAAACATGGCATGAAATCTCATTTGAAACTATTCTTTATCATTTGTTCGCGAAATTTCGATTATACGTTAATGTATATATTTTTGGTGCGTGCGTGGTACGTGTGGTATCTGTCCTGTTAATTTCTGTTTGTCTACATCCTGCGTGAACGTGTATAATTATTTATAATTTTTACATATTATATACATTACGTATTATTTCGGGATGTATATCTACAAAATTATCGCTAGACGTGTCCTTCGAAAAAAAAATCTTTGACAAGAATGCGAATTACTGATCCTGATCTCCTTCGCGTTTAGAATCGAGAATATTATTAAAAACGATTTCTTTTATATATATCGTACATATTATGCTATGTTTAATTATTTATTGTACTTCACAGTATTCCTTTGGTATGAATTATGACTTTTTCGTTATATGGAGATCGATAGTTATCGGTGATCGTCTTATCACCAATTTGACCTTTAATTTGACCTTTAATTGGAACAAGTTTGCTCGCATTCTTGCCAGTATGAGCACAAGCGGCCCTTAGCTCCCACATAGTTATATATTTGTTATCGTTAAAGTGTGAAATCCGTTATTTCACAAAACAACTAATTGTAAGTTTTTCATAACATATACAAAGATATCAGTTAAAGTATGAAATAAGGCAGAATTTTACCTAATTATTCTATGAAATAGAAACAGATAAAATGAAAAAGTTAAAGCATGAAATTGAAATTCGATGTCAAGTATTAGAATACTTGTTGTAAGTATAAGTATACGGTACTTATGGTGACCATTACTTGTACTTACGGTGACCATTCTCATTCGTACAGTATTTTATAAAACATTGTATTGTATAATTATTTAAAAATAATGTATTTAGTTTTATTGTTTGTATATAGTATTTTAAATGTCTAATGAAAATTTAGCTTTAAAAATAAAAACTGATCTTTTAAACAAGATACGGAGAGTATTGAAAAATATCCAAATTTATTGAATTAAACTGAATAGTTTTATCGTTGTAAAATAGAATTTGAATATTTTTGAAAGTAAAGTAACTTAAGTTAACTTTAAGTTTTTATAAGCTTTCGTTTAATGTTTTGGCTTAATCCTAATTAAACATATTTGAATTGATTTTTTGTTGAATTGTATTTTTGTCTAGAAACGATAGTCGTTTTATTTATACTGCACTTTTGTATATCCGGAGAAAAAAAGTACATATTTCTTGGTTTTTAGGCTTTCCAAGCGAAGATTATCTAATCTCGAGATAGAGTTTCTCTATTGATTTAAGAGATTAAATTACATTTCCTTCTCTAAAACTATGAAAATAAGAACAAGTATTCATTGTCCGCGTTTCTTTTATTTCGGTCTTTTTTTTTTCTTTGATAAGAAATTTTTTAATCGCCGATTTTTTATTCCGTACATTCGGATATATTTGATTTTCGTTCTGATGGTTCTCTAAGAATTTCTCTATTTTATTTCAAGAATATTTTCAATAGAAAAACTTTATTCGGATTGATAATTTTCGCTCGGCAGGCCTAAAAAAAAAAACAAGAAACACGAATTTCTTTTTTTTCGGTTTTACAACAATGCAGTATAAAATCGACAATCATTGTTTTACGACGAAAATAAAATACACAAAAATAAAATAAGATTATTATGTTGCAAGACATGTCTAGCTATTAATATACAAATGTATTCAAATATGTTTTACTTCTAACGGACTAGAAAGTTAAACGAAAGCTTATAAAAACATCAAGTGAAAACCTTTATTTCACTTTCACAAATATTCAAGTTTTATTTTACAACAATAGAATTATTCTGTTAGATTAAATCAATTTGGATATTTTTCCTACTGTGTAGCAATTTGAAGAGATCAATTTTAGTTTTTAAGGCCAAATTTTCATGAAAATTAAACAAGGTACAATTCAAAAAATATAATTAAACCGAACATTTCTTCAAAATAAAATAGTAAGAATGGTTACTTTAAATGTATACTTTAAGGTATACTATTAAGTGTATATTTTTTTTTTTTTTTTTTTTTTTTTTTTTTTTTTTTTTTTTTTTTGATACAAAATTAAAGAATATTTGTCTTCTACTTAACATCTAATTTCTATTTCATGCTTTAAATAACACCGCGTAAGGGTTATTTTATAGAATATCTATGTAAAGTATATAATACATATATTATATACTTTGTCACATAATGTTCCGATATTTCGTGAAATAACTGAATTAGATGCTTTGACGATGACATATTTACAAATATGGGTCACGGATATGTACGAGTTTTCGATAGACACGTTATGTAATTTATATATACAAACAGGTATTGTCGGACCGCCAAATGTTAATATTTTTTCACGGAAGCGCGATATCCTAAAGTAAGTAAAATGAATCCTTTAAATAAATAGTTCGAACGAATGTCGATGATCACAAGGTTCTCCTTCTTCAATTAAAATTAAAGAAGCGTGTTTAATTATAATCGCATAATATATAATTTATAATAGGTACTTTTTGTTTCTTTCCCATAAAGTAATACAAGATTAGGGCCGTAGTCCAAAAGCTCGTTATTACAATTAAGAAAAGTATTATTATTTCGCTAAACAAACAAAAATTACCGATTAATTATACTTGTATTCCTTTCAAATTCAAGTACGACGATTTATACATGAAATCGATATTGTGAAGAAGATATCGATATGTGAAGAAGAAATAAAAATACAAAATAATTAAGAGAAATCTGAAATCGAAAGGAAAACCATTGACGTTTATAAAGAGAGTCATCGTCGATTGTTTTCTTCCGTATTGATAAATTGAATTGTGAAGTTTGAAAGAGAGAAGATAATGATATAAAAATCTGATATATTACATATACACCGATAAATTTCTTGACATTTAATTGATATTTTATATCGCGTATCGCGTATCGCGTATCGCCGCGTATCGCCGCGTATCGCGTTAAGTGTTAATAGCCGTATAATATTTTAATGAAATATTTCACAATATTTCTCGATGTGTGTTTTCAATGGCAAGAAATGTTGTTATTCATTTTCGAATTACAGAGAGACAATGAATATATAGTAGAAATGGAACAAGTATTTGTTTATCTCATTTAAACGGTAACTGTTATCGATAGTCGAAGAGATTTTAATCTTCTCATAAAACTTTTCAACAGCGAATTATTACGGCGTATATTTCGTTGAAACGTGCAAAAGAATACGAAACGACGACGTTTGAACACAAATCTTTGAACCTTAAGGTCATTTCAACTTACAAAAGTTCAAAGTTCTAAGTTTTATACAAAATCTGATATTATGAAATTCGAATCAATGATATTAATGATATAGACGGTACTATGTAATTATAATGTTTAACTATCTATTTACATTGTTCATTATCAGAATACAGGATAACTATTTTAAAGATGTTTTTTTGCATTCTCTTAATCGTCAGATATATATTTCTTGTAGAAATTCAATAGATATTTTTAAACGGAAATATTGAAAACGTTTTGATTATAATCGGTTCTTCGATAGGAAAGGGAAAAAGCTTTTTTCTACATGATTTGCGGATCTTGTTGCTTTGCCAGTCTGCTTTTACAGCGGTTGTCGAGACGTAGCAACACTTCGTATACTATTTGTCAGTTGTTTATGTTTATCTACATCTTCGCGTTCGTTGGCTTTCGAAAAAATGTACCCACGATATATTTTATTCGATCGTCTTCAACGTATTTTCTAATCATATATTTATAAGATAGACATCATATGATATTTTCATCGTTCTATCAAAAGATAGTTTCGATACTACGATACGTTTATTATCGTATCTCATATGTACCAAGATTGGTCAGAAACGTTGAATTACTTGTTAGTACCATCTCCATATCATCTAAATTCAATTTTTGCCGAAAAGGTAATATTGGTACTGTTTTTTAGTATATTTCAATATGTATGTGTGTGTATATATGTATGTATGTGTGTTTGTGTGTGTAAATAGAATATATTATTTCTATGATTTATCAATTAATGATAAAAATCGGGTAAATTGCACAAACGTCGTTGTTGTTGTTGTTGTTGTTGTTGGTGTTGTTGGTGCTGGTGTTGTTTCTGCTGTTGATCGCGATGATGGTAAAGACTTTCCCCTTGATGGGTCGTCTGTTGTTGTCACTCGTGAGATTTCCCACTCAATGGATGGTAATTTCCACTGGGTGATGCCACTAAGGCCAAGGGAAGAGGCGATCCCAATGACGTGGAATGTGAATGGGTATGACCCATTCCCGAGGAATGTGCAGTGAGAGCTAAAGGAGTAGCAGACATCGAATTCGTAAGAGAAGCAAAAACTGATGGCGCAGGTGACGCCATTGTCGGGCTCCCCATTGCTGCCGTTGGAGGGTTGATCCTTTTCTCTTTTTGTCGCCTGTATAACACAAATATTTTTTTTGTTTTATTTTTCTTTTCTTTTTTTCTCATCTTACAAGAAGACCTTACGGTTGTGCCCTCACGGATTTTAATGAGCTTTGGTATATTAGTAGTATACTAATGGGGTGTTTTCGTGGTAAAGTATTTCATCCTAACGCGAAGCCAATTTTGAGAAAAATGCTTTTAAAGTTTTGATTTTGGTTGTATGCATGTTTATATTATCTTCAAATGCGACTATTTATTAAATACATTGTCACGATAACACCCTACTAGTATACTACTAATATGTCAATGCTCGTTAAAATTCGTGAGGGCACAACCGTAAGATTAGTCCCTTAGTTATATTGTTAGTTTCAATTAAACACGAATATGTTATGATTATTGTTGTTATCTATATTATTGATATATACCTGTTGCAAAACCATACTCGAACAACTTCTTTTTCCATTGCTAAACTATCCGCCAATACGGTGATTTCTTCGGAAGTAGGTTTTGGATTTTGAACGAAAGATTTTTCTAGTGCCACTCTAACGCTAGTTTCTATGGAAGTCCTCTTTTTTCGCCGCCTACCTATCGCTTCTGGTGTCGTTAATGGATTCGAGAGCGAATTTGGATTGTTCAATGAATTATCGGCATCTTCTAACCATTTTTGAAGAAGAGGCTTCAATTTGCACATATTCTTGAAGGAAAGGTTTAACGCTTCGAACCTAAAAACATTGTTAATTGCATTGTTAATTTTGCATTGTTATTATTTTAATAGAAAAATATATTCGAATTTTAAAATATATATAAGACTATACCTTGAAATAGTGGTTTGAGAAAAATCATTGCCGTAGAGTTTTCCCATGGCAAGGCCAACATCACCTTGAGTAAAACCAAGCTTAATCCGTCGTTGTTTAAAGGTCTTAGCAAATTGTTCGAGTTCCTCAAGGTCCGTCGTTTCTTCTGGAGAATGTTCCAATCTTGTTGGTGGCGGTTTTACTGACGGTGGTGTACCAGGAGGTGGTGGTGATCTTTGTTGCGTTAAATTTCTACCGACCAATCCACCTCCACCTTGAAGTGCCTGTTGTTTTTGTATGGCTTGTAACTGTTGGGCTGCTTGTGCTACGGCGTGTTGTACCTAATAATAATAATAATAATAATAATAATAATAGATAAATGAACCCCGTTTGTTAATTCATTATTTTAATGTGAATTCATTCACATATTTTTCTTACATTAGATATTGAAAGACAACTTGCAAATGTAAACTTTATTTCGCAATATGAGAAAATAAGGAGAGATTATAAAGAGCTGAGATCAGGAGGTGTGTTACACAGTTAAAGGAATAAAAGTGGCACGTGTTTCTTTTCAGTATAACTATGCAAAGATTTCGTAGGGTGCTAGAATCGATCGTTTATTTTCACCCTTTCTTAACCAGATGCTCGATTATGAGAATAAGAGGATACGTGGAACGTGGCATATATGAAGGAAAAGGGTTTGGGGTTGGTCGCGTGTCGTCGTTCAACGAGACCAAAAGCACCTTACTTATGCTTATTGTTGATCGTCAAGATACCCTTAGAGGTTCCTTTAAATTTAGCCACGTGCAGAGATCGGCAACAGGTATTTGATAGTTGATTCTTTACGAATTTCCTACCTACTATTTGTATATCTCTTTAATAATACGAAATATAAATACGAAATGTAAGTACGAATTATACAATGAAATCGTATATCTCCAATATTTCCACAGTATTTCTTTGCGAAATCTGAATAATGAAATAATGAAAAATTCAACAATTGCGCGCGAGAAAAACGACATAAAAAGAACGAACGAGTGATTAACTAAATTTTAATATATGATCCATGTATTTTCCAATGAGAAAGAGTTTTGTTTCTCGGTGATAATATCCAGAAAAAAAGCCAATTTGTATCGCGTCGTGTCGCGTTGCGTCGCGTGTCGAACCACAGGCAAGAATTTAGTATAGAAAAAAGGGTGCTTTAGATGAACGTGTTCGATGAATGAAGAAATTAAATGTTCCTTCGACAAAGCTATAGAAGGTGTATTAGAGAATAGGATATCCCCGCTTGAGAAGATCACGTATCGTAGATGTATCGTAAACGAGAGGGTTGAAAGACAGGTTACAGCCCTGTTCTAGGAGAGAGGTTGATGGCCCAGGACGGTAAGGGAAGCTCCTCCTGCTGTATCTTTACAAAGTTTCGAGAACAAAAAAGCAGATCTTCCGATGAGAAACGAGGCAAAAGGAATAAAATACAAGGAAGCCACGTGTGAGGTAACAAAGGATCCTTCTTCTCGTTCGGGTAAGGTACTGAGGGGTTCGGAATATTCCTAGATGTATATAGTGTCTTTTAAAGTAGATACGAAGGGATCTAAGCTTCCTAGTTTGAGTGTGAGTATTGCCGATAGATGTGTGCATGAATGTTGTGGATCCAGACGGCCATTAAATCTGCTAAGATTCAAAGTCGTTTTGTTAGCATGCTTTTTTTCTTTTTCTATTTTTTTTTTTTATATATACAAGGACTGTGGCATCGCGTCTTTGCACGCGCTATTCGTGATGGAGCCTATAGAAATTTTTTCCTAAATGTTGAAGCTGTCCCTATTCAGAATTATTCGTAGGAAGGGAAAGAGAGGGAAGAGAGGAGAGAGGGAGGTGCCCACTACGGGTATCCAGGAAGGAGGGTTCGTTTTTCAACGTATCTCTTCGGATATAATGAGTCGATTTTTCTCTCGATTCGATGCGGGAGATTTTGTTTCTTGACAAAAAGATAACACCCAGTGATTGTTGAAATGAATTATTTCGAAGAAAGAATTTTCGAATTTAAAGAAATTTTCGCGTCAAATAGATGCATGCGGATACAGTTAGTGTCCTGTAAAATTGTAAACACTTTACACTCACTGTATGTATATTGTATCTTTGTTCTTTCTTTTTGTCTTTTTTTAAATAATCTTTCTCGAATTATCTCTCAAATTTCTACATTATATGTATGAAATAAGTTTATTACGTAATAATGTTTATTAAATGTGCCGAAATTGTATTCGAATAAAGTTGGAACGAAGGAATGAAGAAATTTTGTCCCTTTGTGCCAGCAACAGAGACGTTTATCAGGATGTCGAATCAAACGAACCGTCTTCGAAGAATAAGACATTCGCTTCCCTTCAGATCATTTCTCGATCAGATAGCAGCGAGTTTGTTCTTTCAATCGTCGCGCGGATTTGCCTCGATTTTAGGATTCGTCGATGATCGAATTCGCATCGAGTACGTAATTTTTGTAATAGGTAGAAGACAGAGGAGGATTGAGAAACAAAAAAGAAGGAATATTTTTGTTTTCTACAAGAGATAAAAATTCACTTACTTGATTTTGTAAGAAAAATTGTGCTTGTTGCCCAGCCGCTGCCGGATTGGCTTGTTGAAACATAGCAAATTGTTGCAATTGTTGTTGTAACGATTGCTGTTGCTGTTGTAAAGACGATGCAATAGCTTGAATCTCTTGAGGTCTAAGAGTACCGAGGGATCCATGCATTAACAATTGTTGGCTGACGAATTGAGCTGCCAGCGCAGCTTGCGAGCTTCCATTATTTGGCGTGCCAGTGTGTTGCAGTTGTTGTTGTTGTTGTTGATGTTGTTGCTGCTGTTGTTGTTGCTGCTGCTGTTGTTGCTGCTGTTGTTGATGCGTACCAGTCAATTGACTACTCACACCAGAACTTGGCGAAGATGAGCTACCGCTGGTACCACTACTGCTATTACGATGTGATACATCAGTAACCTAAGACACAGATTCGCATTTCGAAATTTAACACATTTTTTAAACATAGTTTTCATCGAATTCTCTTAGTTTGATATATATAGTGAAATTTCACGATCTAATGTGGAATCAAATAGGTACCCTTACTAATAATAAAATTATATAAACAACGTTGAATAATAAAGCCGTGTTTGAGTTACGGTCAGTTCAGGGGATATTGATTACTTTAGTCCTAAAAACGCGAGTAAAAATATCAATGATTTTTGTTTTTCTTTTCAAACGCGTTTAACTTGGAAAAGTTTTTTCAATTTATTATTTTAAGTCACTTATAAATATTTTCAAAGAGTTATAATATTAACAATAAATAAGTGATATGAAAGTTTTTGTTTGAGTTGTCTAATAACTTTTAATTATTAAGATATAACGAAATTTAGATGTTCAGTTTTTCGAATATTACAAGAATGTATGTCTGCTCAAATGAAAAAGACGCTGAACATTAGAGATTAAGTTGCTGAAGAAGTTTCAATAAAGGGACGAAACGTCCAACTAATCAAATCTATAAGTTCTAGTTCTTTTTAATGTCGACTTATTTATTAATAATTTTCTTTTTGTAGACGAGAGAAATAACTAATTGTATAATATTAACGTTTTTAATATTCTTGATAATAAGTATAATTGTGAATTATTTGACGAACCAAATTAAGAGCTTCCCTATCCGAATCCATCGAATCGTGATCGAGATTCGCGTCGGTGACATCTTGAATATCGCTTGTGATACTTCGATCATCTCCACTAAGTTCGACTCCTTCAACCTCAGCATGTAAATCCGCATCTGTAATTAGAAATAAAAAAAAACCAGGAGATTAGATTCGAATCACTGTATGAAATATTCCATTGATAAATTTTAATTATATTATTCTCTACAAACTGTTATTATAGAAGAGTGAACAATTTTCGTGATAATCGTACAATCATTGTTGTTCTGTGGTTTATATTTCGGATGACGATCACCGTATCGGGTTGGAGTGGATGTTGGCGTGCTTGTGGCATGAAGCCGCATATCCGTCAAAATCATTTTCGGGTCTTCGAGAAAGACCATGTTAATCCCCTTTCTCCCGGTGGTGGTTTTATTTGTGATCCTCCTCGTGATCACATCGAAACGATTTTCTAGATCCAGCACGAATTTATCTTGAAAACGCGTTCATGGGGAACATCGAGTAATCGTTGTTTTGGATCGACAACGATCGCGACGAATGATCTTTAGGATCTTTTTCCAAAAATACGATTTCATGCCGTATCTATAACGTACGTACGCGTGTTTAAAACAAAAAGACGACGAAAAAATTTGTTTACATAATTAAATGTTTTGGTTAATTGTTCGATAAATTATTATTTAATATTAATACGAATATATGCACAATTTGTTTGGATTTTCTTCGACGACGTATCACCGATGCAGGACGAATGTTAGAATGACGCAACGAAAGCAGCACGGCCCCTTAGCACAAATGGAACATCCCCACCAACATCGCTAACACCACGTGCACTTGGATCCTTTGACGGGGATGCTTCGATTGGTCGGGACTCTACTCGTATACGAACGATACCGCCCAATAAGGATCAGTTTACCCTTTTCGAGCCTACTCTTTTTTTTTTTCTTTAACTCTCCCTTTTACTCATGGAGTAAAACCCCCTTGGTTCATCCATCATCTTAGGTATTTTATCGAGTTAGGTATGAGTTAGGTATGAGTTAGGCCTCCCTCGCAGGCCCATTGCGTTGCATTGGGCCCTCTAGGAAATGTGTGGAACTTAGTGTGTTCAACTTAGGAACGATGTAGGAACGTTGAACAATATAAAACGGAACCACCGATTGGTCGAGCTAACGTTTGGCACGCGTTTCAAGCCCTAACGGTTTTAATAATAATTAGTTCGACGATACGCTCGGATTTTTGTACTACGGTGTAGTAAATATGTTTGTGCTACCGTATATGTTTGAAATACGGTTCTTCATTTTTATTATCTAATACGATAACATTTTCTTCTCTTATGTATATCTTCGAAATGTAATAACCCCGAGACGCGAGTTTGAAATTTAACAAATTCACACAAAAGAAGATTTATAAAATTAATTGTAAGAACGAAATTAATAGGATCGAGTCCGACGATCATGGTGGATATCAAATTGAAACAAGGGGAAAGAGGATCAATGAAATACTTAAAAAAAAAGAAAAAGTTGCTTAGCCATTTCAACGGGAATTCGGATGTTCCCATCGATTTTGAATGTCGTCGGAAAATAAAAAACTGAGCGAAAAAAGTGAGAAAGTAAAGATTTCGTCGTAACTTTGGAGAAAACATGCCGAAGGGTGGAAGGAAGGAAGGAATGATCGTTGGGGAGGAAAAAATGAAAAATCCCGTGAACCCCGTGGATCGATACGCCGCTTTTTAGACGAACAGTCCCGATTTCTACTCCTCTTCACGTTTTCTCTATCCTTCTCTCGGGTATCTTCTTGCCCCCTTCCTTCCTACCTGATTCCCCTAAAATCATAAAAAAAAGCACCGAAAGGTCAGGTAGGATAGCATCGACAGGATGCGTTAGATGCGTTTTATTCCAGGATTGGCCCATTCCCTATAAAATTTCATTTTACTCGTCCTCTTGCGCTCTTACGTGTCTTTCTTATTTTTCAAAAGCAGGTAAGGCAGGTACTTACATACATACATGCATACATATATGTATACCTTTTATACATACTCTTTTATATTTCTATTCTTTTCTTTTCCCCTTATACATTTGCATTTTCTACGGCCATTCTTCTTTTTTCTTTTTTTTTTTTTTTTTTTTTTTTTAAAAAAATTTTCCTTTTTTTTCGTGAGAATCGCGTCGAAAAATGAATAGATATTTCGAGATAAAAGATATTTGGTTCTTTAACGCGTATGAGGTAAGGAAGAAAAAAAAAAAGATACGATAGATCGATAGAAAATAAATGTTCGATGAGCGTTGCCACCAGGTGTTCATAGGAAATGCACACAAATATTATATTAGAATGTTAGTATCTTACAATTATCTCCAACCTTGCGTCATAAATATGGACCTCTATGTATGCGTGTCAATTATGTATACGAATATGTAATATAAATTTTGTGTGCTTTTGCTTTTTTTTTATCAAATTTACTTCAGTTTCCTTGAAAAAAGAAAAAGTCGTCTGTCTAAAACGAATCTTTTCTTGTCGTGAGAAGCTACCGAATTCCTTGTTTTGCGGCCAAAAAAAAAAAAAAAGGGAAGGGGACAGAATTTTGGGGTGATTTCTTCTCCTCGTTTTTGTTTTCTACCCTTTTTCAAAAAAAAAAAAACGCGTTGTTCCGTCTTTTTCGAAAGATTTAACATAGAAAATAGTTGACGGCTCGCAACCAGGTGCGAGTATAACATTTAGGCGGTACGTACGTTCCACCATAAGATAAGGTACAATCATTGCAAGCAACCTTTAAAAAAAGGGACGCAAAACGACCGTTGTTTCGTTGTAGAAAATTTGGAAAAAATTTCAAAACGTTTTTTGCTTATCCGTTAAGAAGCGAATTCCGTTTCACGGTAGGAGGATCACTGTTAAAGCTTTTATGGTAACAATTTTTCCGTCTAACCGACGTTAGATATTTTACGATCGTGATTGTCCAATGGTAGCAATGCCTATGCAATTTCAAACTATTGAAGTCCGTTTAACGTTTGTACAAGCGACAGGGTGACCCCCATCTAGTCTATCCATCACCCACGCACATTCTCACGCATGTTGAATCCCGAAAATTCGTTCTTAGTATGTAAGTATGCACACGATTGTTACACAATACACACAAGGCCAATTCTGTATGAGGGTTCTGCAGCTGGGCGCATTCGAACGTTGTGCTATTTTTCCACATTATTCGAAGCACACGGTGTCTTTGACCTCAACTCATCCTACTACTTCTCTTCACCCTCATTTTATCTCTTTTCAAAAATACTCGATGGAAAAGCAAGCGACGATTTGACCTTTACACGAGAAACTCGTCAATTCGAAGATGCACCCTGTTTGACTTGTATAAACGTCAGGTGATAAGATCGAACAATGTTGCACCTGAATCATCTAGACATTTATTTTACTATTTCATGCTTAACTTTCTTATTATTATCAATAGTAAATATATTTTACATAATGAGAAAGCTTATCCTTAGATAACAATAAACATAATAAAGATAAACAAGTAAATAATAATAATTAAAATAATAATTAGAATGGTCATTTTTCGAATAAAAATGTCGAGAATGCGCGTTAATGAATTAATCGCTAATATGTTTTACGTTTTTCCAATCTTCTTCTTTTTCATCAACTTCATTCACACCATTTCCATTACTTCTTCAGAGTAGTAGTCATCTTGGAATCGGTTTTTTTGGTTAGCACCGAAACTCTCGCGTGGGATCCGACGATGTCTTTGTTCGTTGGGACGAGAATAGGAGGGCGTGTTTCCCTTTTACGCCTGATCTACATAAAATATCGATTCCAGACTCGCAACTCAGGAAACATATCGACGAGTCACGGAGAATCTCACCTTTGCTGGTGAAACCGGCTTCTCTTGTTCTTTATTCTCTAGGCCCTGCTCCCTCTCCCCCTGTCCTCTCTTCTCTTCGTGGTTTGACGAACGCCGTCACAAAGAAGAAATCGTTATTTTCACGGCTCGGTTCGATTTCGCGGTTGCATCCTTCGTTCTCTTTAACCATTCCATTCCATTTCATTCTATTTCATTCCTACCTATCTACCTTCCTTCCTTCCTTCCTTCCTTCCTTCCTTCCTTCCTTCCTTCCTTCCTTCCTTCCTTCCTTCCTTCCTTCCTATATTCCTTATTTTTCTTTCAAAGATAGAGTTAACTTTTTGTCCCGCTTTTCATTCGCAATTCTTCTTTGCATTCTTCAAGCTCCTCTTCTCGGTGATTATCCGTGAACCGTAATTGGATCTACCTTTATAATTAGCGTAAGAGAAGATTCATGGTTCTGGTAGGTTAAATGAACTTCTTTCGTGTGAAATGAAGTTCTTTGTCTTATATCGTGGGAGGTGGTATAAAAGAACGGTGTTAATGCGTTAAATGTAGTCAAGTTTGTTGCAAGTAAGTTCCTTTGTTTTTGTTTTCACTTGTGAAGATTTGATTAATTAATATTCGCTGAAATGTTTGTTCAGGTTTGTTGAAATATTTTCAATCATAATTATAGATATATGGGGGATATTAGTCAAAATATTCATAATGTCGTCGAGACTTTTTTTTTTCTTTTTTTCTTTTTCCCTTTCCCTTTCCCTTTCCCTTTTCTTTCTTTTTTGGTTCTTTCTTCGTTTGGTCGCTCTTTAACACGGGGTAGGAAAAGTTTGAACGGCATCTGCCGTTTCGTGTCGTCCTTCTTTTCGTATACTTACGTAAAAGCGACAACAATACGAACAGCAACTAACGGGGGAGGAATTCTCATTCGTATTATACCGTCCTGTACGCATCACCTGTCAACCTTACGATTACGATTTTATTAAGGTCTTGCATCATTTGAGATTGAGAGGTCTTTGGGATCGTTTCAACTCTCACGAAGATCTTAATCACGATGCAAAGAAATTTTTAATCAAATTTATAATCGAATTTACTTCCTCTTTTATTTCAAACTATTTATATTTCAAAATGCATCTCGATGATTACAATTAACGTTGTTTTGCGATTGTTACATTGGTAGAATTCAATTGAACGATTAAAAACATTTGTGGATGAATTTATAATTCAATCATTTCATTTTTTTTTTGGTTTATTTCTCTTTGATAATTTTAAAGAATTAAATAG